CGCCATGGCAACCGCCGGCCCGCGCACCCGCCGCGCGTCACGTGAGCGCCGCCCGCTCCCCGCCTCACGTGACGGGTGGGCGGGGCGGCGGGGCAAGATGGCGGTGTGCATCGCCGTGATCGCCAAGGAGGTGGGGCTGGGCCTCGGGGGCTCAATGGGAGCTCTGGGGCCTGCACAAGGGTGAGGGCGGCGGGGCTGGGCCTCAGGTTGTGGGGCCCGAGAGGGACAAGGGAGTCAGGTGGAGCTGTGAGCCCTGAGCAGGAGTGAGAAGAGCAGGACTGGGGCTGTGGGGCTGGGTGAGGTTGTGGAGTAGGGCTGAGGGGAATGGGGCAGGGTCCCAGTTTGGGGCCCCTGAGCAGGGTAGCAGGGCCAGGAGGTTGTGGGGCTGAGCAGGGCTGGGGCTCACACTGTGGGGCCTGAGGAGGGGAGCAGGACTGGGGCTGTGGGGTAGGGGTGAGCAGACTGGGGCAGGGTCTCAGGCTGTGGGGCCTGAACAGGGTTGAGGGAAGTGGGACAGACACTGGAGGTTGAAGTGGGCTGAACAGGAGCAGCCTGGGACCAGGGCAGGGGGAGCTGGGGTAGCGCGAGGGTGCCCTATGGTGTCCTGCTGCCAGGAGAGGAGAGGGGTTTCCTCAGGAAGAGCGGGGGACAGGCTCTGCTGGGACAAGGGGACAGGTCAGGCAGTGGAGAGACCTTACCCTTGTGCAGTGCCTGTGCGAAGGCAGATCTGCTCCACAAGTGCGGCAAGGTGTACAGGAGACTGTGCTGTGAACATAAAATGATTAAAATAGCTTCCTTCTGACAGCAGCAATTCTTTGGGTGAAAACCATCACTTCCACAGCAGAGGGACTGGTCCTAGTTAGCATAATTTGTTCTCCTCCTCAGAACTATCCCCTCTACATCCGGAGTGTTCCAACTGAAAACGAGCTGAAGTTCCACTACACTGTGCACACTTCCCTCGACGTTGTGGATGAAAAGATCTCTGCGATGGGCAAGGCTCTTGTAGATCAGAGGGAACTGTACCTGGGGCTCCTCTACCCCACTGAAGACTACAAGGTGTATCTTTCTAATGCCTTTTACCATGCCTTTATGTATTTATATGCTCTTTCTTGCCAGGGGCCCCACATGGGAAATCTCTCTTCCTACTCAGTGCCATGTTAAAGACAGCAGCAGAAAATATACAGACTTGTTCACTGATCAGTTCATCACGTAGAGGTTCAGGTTTGGTGCCTTGGTCAATTCAGCAGCTGCTTCGTTGCCCAACCAGTTGATAGAAAAATTTACCCTTGGCCTACATGAAGGAGAGTGCCTGGTGCAGCTTAGACTTCACCTTTTATAAACTAGGCGTTTTATTCCCTGCTTAGCTAAAACAGTTGACTGTGACTAGAACAAAGCTTAGACTCTTCAGTAACACCAGCAAAAGTAGCAGGAGTATGAAGATGTCTCTGGTCAAGTACCTAAATCCCACATATATGGTCTGATTTCTCTAAAATCTGTACTTCACAGCCACAGCCTCCCCAGCGTTTTTTAGGTCACAGATTTGATCTTTGGAACTTTCTTTGGCTTTTTTCTCTGAGTCCCACAGACAGAAGTTAGCAGCAGACCTGATTTCTGGGTTTTCATAAACTGGTTGTTAATTTTTGAAGTCTCAGGGCAGTCACACTGGCTGATACTGAGAAGATCTCCAGGTGTCTTGATTGCGGTCTCCCAAACAATAATAAATAAGGTACCTGTGTCATAATGGTCTGGAGAGAAATCCTCGTGAAAACAGCTAGTGGGAGGCTGCTTCTGAAATTGCAACGCCTGACTGGCCAGCATAGCAATGAGCTTGGCCTGGAGTTATCAGAGATGGCAAAAATAAGATTGAAAAGGGGATACAGTGTCTTGCTTACCTCATCTCGTCCTAGGTATGTGCTGGGCGCAGCAGGAACGTCATGTTTCCTCCCAGCTTGTTTCTTTGAGTGTCTTCCAGCCTTGTTTGGGTTTGGCCAGGCTCTGGTGTGTCAGAAGCACATGCCTTAACAGCTGCACAGATACGGCTACGTGACAAACTCCAAAGTGAAGTTTGTTATGGTGGTGGATTCCTCCAACACAGCACTTCGAGACAATGAGATCCGCAGTGTAAGTGCAGGAAATCAGAGCACAACTTGCCACATCAGTGCTTTTGCTACTTCCACTTATTCATGAAGTGCTGAGCAGCAAAAAAATTAATTAAACTACAATCCCTTTTCAGATGTTCCGAAAGCTGCATAATTCATATACGGACATAATGTGTAACCCTTTTTATAACCCTGGGGACCGTATCCATTCCAGGTAAGTGGGTTGATCATACAAATCTTCCTGATCTTTGTCATCTCTCTGGAACTCGCGGTGTCCCTGTGATGTCCCAGGACAGAGAGCATGGCCCCTGCGGTTGACCAGGTCAGATGTGCATGCTCCAGCTGCCCAAATGGAGAACAGCTGTGTTGTCTTTGGGCCGTTACTGCAGAGCAGGAAAGCAATAGTCTCATGAGAAGTTACATTGAACTCTCACTCCCAGCTCAGAACTGGTGTTAGAAACGCTGACTCAAGAAAATCAACATCTTGAGGAGAAAAACCTGCCTATTTTCATAGGTAACAGTGAAAATTATAAGTAAGCAGAGCAGGTTTAAGAGAGAACAACTGCACTTGCCCAGGGCTTACCCTTGGGTAAGGACAGATGGGCATTCAGCCTGTGTCATTCCTCACATGTGAGGGCCTCTGCCCCCATTTCTCACCTGTAATCTCACAGGGAATTTTAATAAAGTTGGGACTTTCTATTGCCTAAGCAAGAACAACTTCTTTTACACTTTGCTGAGGCAGGTCTACAGCCAGGATAAGACCTGTACTTAACTTCAGCTTAATTCAAAGTCATTATTTACTCAGCAGAGCATGCTCTAGTTGAAGAATAAAACCATGTATCCAGCTTAGGGGAAGCCAGCTCAATAACCAGTAAGAGGCATTGTTTAGCCTTTGGTTTTTTTTTTATGAGAGATCTGCTGGGCAGAACTAGCTGCCTCCTTCAATATTCTGTGTTCATTTCCTTCTCCAGGGCTTTTGATAATATGGTGAACTCCATGATGATGCAGGTGTGCTAAAGCTCTGCCCCTCCTCATCCACCTCTTGAGAACATTCCCCATGTACAGGAGCATGCC